GTATCAAAGGAAATAAGGATTTCGTAAAACAGATTTATGAGTGGAAGGCATAATCAATTGTATACTAAATTGATAATTGTTGTCCAGAGTATGTTTATATCAAGAATATGTCCAGAATATGTTTTATAGTTTGTGTTAGTTATATAATAAGTTTATGTCCAGAATATGTTTTAGATCAAGGATTTTGTAGAACTGTTTTATAAGTGAAAGGTACCTTTTATATTTTTATGATTTCTACAATACTTATGTTTTTATATGTATGTTATATTCTTTTTTAATGTTTTAGTTGGCTGAAGAGGGGTTTAAGAGCCCGAAACGTGTAAAATTTTCACACGTATCAACTAAATAAAGATGAGAAAACCCGCCAAGTGTCTTAATTTATAGCACTTTATTGTGTTAGAAGCATAAATAAATTAACTTATTTGAATTGTTTCCATCTTTTAGTAAGTCAAATACTAATAACATTAATTATTGATAATTCCCTGCTCAATAAAATTAAGCAATACTACAGTTGAAATACATTATTTTATGTATTTTTATAGTCATACAAAAGCAATTAATACAAATTATTATTTTTACAATATATTCATCAATATAATCACTTTTGGCTTTAACATAAAATATGATATAATACTACAATTAAAAAGTTATTAATTAGTAGCATTTTCAAATTCAATAAAATAAAATATAAAATTACTTTTAATTATTATTTATTTTAAAGAAAGAAGTGTTTAAAAACAATGCATTGCATCTAGACAGCACTACTTTTCAATTGCTCAACCACAAAACATTCAATTTAAACTACTTTTGCTACTTTATTTTAAAGCTCTTCATTTTGTTATTTTAATTAGTTTTGCTTATTTGTGTAAAGCATCTGTCAAAATAAAGCAGCTTTTGATTTGAACAGTTACAATAGAAATATAAAATCTCTTAATTAATAAGATATTAATTCAAGATAAATTCAATCTTAAACAAAATTTAATATTTTTAAATCTGTTGCAAAGAGGCTGTCCATAAACGATGTCCACATTGGAAAGGAGGGAGGGGGCTATGACAAGTCAAACAAGGTGGAGAAGAGAAGTTGAGCTACATTGGATGTTTCATTAAATTTTACAGTTTATGCATTTTATTATATTTATTTCAAAATTTCTTATAAGTTTTGTTTCTACTTATGGTATTTATCATTCATAAAGTGATAAAGGTTTAAAAGGAATTAAGTTTTGTGGACATCCAAAGATGGGAGGGATTACATGGAAACTTGGACAAGAGGAGATGGAAAGCAAAAATGTCATGAAAAATGTGGATGTAATTTATGGACAACACCAAAATTAAAATAAACTATTTAATAAAGTAATATGTAATACAGTAATTACTTTAAAATTAATTCTTTCAACTACTTAAAAAAACATATCAAAAAAAGTGGATAACTATATTCTTACCATAAGATGCAAATAATTTCAAATGATCTTTTATTTTCTCCAATAGATCTTCTTTTTCATCAAACAAATTAAAATTGAAGTAAAATGATAAAAATGTTTCCAAGCAATCCACTTTAAAAAAATATCTTGCACATGATTCTGAAATATTCTGGACAATTTTATGTAGTTCTATTAAATTTTTGTAAACGTGCTGCGAATTTAATAAATAAATATATAGCTGGATTTCAGCTGATAACTGCAGATATGTTTCTAACAACATCTTTAACAAAGAATCTGTAAATAAAATGAATTTTTAAGTTTTTTCAACTATTATCAAAAATTTATATAGATACAATATACATTTATATAGATATTTACACATACAAAAATTTATATAGATATATACACATAGGGGTATATAGATACAAGGATTGCCACTTCTTTCCATTTCTGCCTCAGTTCTACTGCAATATGACAATGTGATGTCCTAATTTTTTTTATTTTTATTTTTTATGTAAATAAAAAAATAAAAAGAAAAAAATAAAAAGAATAATAAAAATAAAAAAGAAAAAGAAAAAAAATTAGGACATGACATTGTCATATTGCAATAGAACTGAGGCAGAAATGGAAAGAAGTGGCAATCCTTGTATCTATATACCCCTATGTGACTAGAGCATTTGCAGCAGGAGAAAACTTAAATATGATGCCTTTTGGATAAGCGTTTCATTATCTATACTCTATATTATTATAATAAAGAGGTAAAGTTTGTAAGTTTGGATGTAGGAGGAAATCTCCAAAACTACTCATCCAATTTCAAAAATTCTTTCACCAATATTTAGAATGGACCTTCAAGGTGGACATAGGCTGTATATTATTCCGTTAAACATTCATATAAATTAAAAGATATCATCTAGGCAAGCATTACATTTTTAGTGTCAGCAGGTGGCAAGGGGCAAGATGCGTACATATACGAGATAGGTAACCATGCAGCGCAGTCATGTGTTCAGTGAGATACACAGTTTATGTGTCTGAACTTGTAGTATATAAAATTGACACAGGGAATGTATGCATATAAGTTTGCTTTACTCGAACTCTTAATCATAATGTTTGATTTTATGTTCAAATTTATATTTATAAATGATTTGAGAAGATCCAACTTATTTTTCGAATTTAGTAAACTAGAAGAAGAACCCAGAAGGGGTTACGAAACATTTGTTATTTATCACTTAGTGGTACTACGCACTGGTTAGTGGTTGCTGTGAATCTTAATTATCGTTAGCCCAGTATGGTAAGCAGATATCTACAAATTTTGTAATAGGACTCAGTGAAAACAGGTAAAATCGGCTATAATCTAATTATCGTAATCTTTGCTACCGTTTTTGTCCAAACATCACCAGGCTTATCTGCTAGTTCTGTTACAAATTTTAAATTATAAAATTACTTTTTATTAATATAATGCAAATTATATTTCATAATATAAGTTTTCATACTTGTGACAGTTTTCTATGAATTCATTAGTTTGCCCATTTAACAATTTTTAAATTTTGATGCCCTGGGTACATACCCCTCTGCCATTACCTTTCCATGGCCCTGCTTGTACTGTACCTGCTGGCCCAGGAGAGGTGATCCTCATAGCTGCCAGCCAAGGAAGATGCAATCCTTGCACTGGTCAGGTATGAAGAGATCCAAAAACAAAGCAATTTCCATTGATTGCTTTGTTCTTGCATTTCGTTTGTTTTTCATGCCTATTTTCCTTTAGGCACACACAATGCTGCTTTTTATTTTTTTGCCCTAAATTTCATTAGGTGCACTCAAATGCCTCAGGGAGTAAGAACATTGTCACTTTGACTTCAATGTACATTGAAAACGAAGCATGTATTCCTATTTTTTTACATTTTTGGATTCTTGTCTCAATTAATGGAAAATGACAAACTTTTATCAAAATTGGCCCATTAAATTTTGAGAATAAACTCGATTCTATAAGCCCATAGAAGACATTAGGCAGACTGACACAATAC